CCCAGGAATTTAACAAAAATCATTCTGTAATGAAAAGGTAATTTAGAGATATGTAAAAATAAAAACTTAAAAACTAAATAGTCCAGGAAACAATTTACATACTTAGGATGTCGGATGTCTGGCAGTGATCGTTCCAGTGCTATATTGTTGCTAACAAATATGTTGAAGCCATTTTCCCTATAAGCAGAATCATCATGGTCTTCCTCTGTAAGAGGGTACGGCTTTCCATGTTCACCTTTCCCTATAACAAAACAAAACAATTATTTGCCTCAAATTCACAGCACAGAATGGACTACAAAGAGAAAAATAAGTTACACTGAACTTCAATTAGAACACTGTGCCTGGAGTGTCTTCCAGTATCTTTAGCAACACTCCTGTTACTTCCAACACAAAACCACAAAGTAGGGACAAATAATGAGACTAAGAAGTTGCTCTGAATTCACCCAAGTCATCTAGTTTTCTCTGTCCAGATACACAATCAGCTTAAAGCCATCTTATACAGAAAAAAAATTGAACAGTAGATTAGGCTAAGACCTTTTTGCATCAGAATCAAGTTTTCTTGGCAAAATTAAGAACAAATTCCAGCTCCAGAAATACTCCTTTTGATTAATATAAGGAACCGGGTTACTGAGTTGCTTTACATTTCAGTAGTCAGAACATGTATACCACTCACTCATCGTTTCAGAAGGCAACTTTATCATTGAAGTTTAGAGTGTCTAACTTTTCAGAAGCAACAGTAAGGAAACTAGATGCTTTGCTCTAGGCTCCTTAAACATGCTTGCATTCCTAGGGACAAGCCAAATATGCTTAGTGCTTCTAATGTAAGAGCACTGCTGATGTGGTTTCAGAAACTGGTCACTTAGTGCCTCCCCAAAGAAATCATTTGCTTGTTCCCTGGCAAACTACAGACTTTTTATTCCAGCTTTTTATTTCCAAGTTAGTTCTCATCAGACACTAGACTTGCTTAGTACCTACCTCAGGCAACTATACCTCTATCTGTTCCAGTTAGAGAGCAGAGAACAAACAAAAACACTTCAAAGAAAATCAGAACATAAAAACCTTCCCTTCTTCTCAACTATTTTTATTCTTTTCATTCTTGTAGAGGGTGTACCCTTCAGAGTTACAAAGCCCTTCATGCCTACTCATGTTCTCAAGAAGATATGCTTTCCTCTGTATTTAATTGAGCAGGTTGCATATAACCTCTCTCTGCTTCTCCCTCTGGGCCCACTCGTAAGAAAATACTTCCTTTTACCTGGACTCTTATAAAGAAATTAATCAACTTGCCAGCTGGATTCAATAGGTGACCAGCTGGGCCCTGATCCTCAGCTAATAACGAGCAGCTATAGGAGGGGATCAAGAGGAAAGTAACCAGAAGTTGACAGAAACATCCAGTGGTATCCTTAAAGCCCACGAGCCTCTGTCAATACTTTATTTCATACTGCACAAGCAAATGACAATAAAAACACAGAATACGCAACTTAAGGTGCTGTAGTTACTCAGTTTTAGATTTTTTTCAGCTAAAATAATACTTTTTTTATCCCAAACTTTGTGCATATATTTACAGTTTCATTTAAGAACTTATGAAAACAATTAATGTTACTTACAATGGGGAAAAAAGTTAGCTTGTATCAAGAAATGCATTTTGCTTATGCTATTTCATTACTAACACGTATCTTGTCATTTTTACTTTCAAACATCCCCAAATGCATGCAACACACTAATATAATACAAAATCTGAGACTAAGCTTCAGTATGAGTCTTTATGATTTCATGCTACATATGAGGAACTATGATATTAAAGAAACATTAGATGAGTCAAAGTACTACTCAAAATTCAATAGTACAATTGCATCAAATTCTGACTCATAATAAAGTAACAATAAGCTAATGTTACTCAATTCCCAAGACAGAAATTTTAGCCCCTCTCTTTCATCATATATTCTAGATAGACCAAAAGTAACATTTTAACTGGTGGTTATTAGTTGGTTAAGTACTGTTGGTTATTTAAATAAGGTGGTTACTAATACTGTGAAAATTCCAGAATAAGTTACCTATATGATGACATACTATTACTAACATTTTTTTTTTTTTACTATAGAATTTTCTGTATATTCCAGCTATTCACTCTGTATAAAGAAAAGTGGATTCTTGCTTTGCTTTTCTTAAAGGAGTCCATTTGGCTATTCAGAAGATGAATATTTTTCATAATACTAGAGTTTCTTCATATTGTCCCCTGCTAGTGAAGCTGAAGACAAGTACTTTTAAAACAGGGAAACTGTTGGCAAAATAGATCAGCTGTAAATAAATTTGAACATGCAACAGAAGTGGAGTTCTGCACTACTTCCATATTCAGTGGTAAGGAAACCTTGTTTAAAACTATAAACAACAAAACACATGGTAACAGGATCTCTTTTCAGGGTCTTCTGGGTTTTCTTTTTGGGTTTTGTTTTTATAATTCAGATGAGCATTATTTATAATTCGATAGGCATGATAAAAAAAAAGATTGGCTTTGCCAGATAAGTTCAAGGAGTTAACAATTGACTAACATCTTAACACAGGAAACCAAGTGGATAAAGAACATAAACCACTCAGTGTCTGTGGGGAAGAACTGTGTACAAATCTGAATTATTTACTGCTTATACTCACTGCTGTTAGTTTACTAAGGCATGACTACACAGCTATCCTAACCCAAGACTATAATTCACAGAAGTATTTAAGCACACCCTTTAATTCAGGCATTCAAGCATCCTTTAATCCAATAACATTTGTAGTAGGGAATAAGAATTCTCCATGTGCTAAAAGCTTTAGTAAATACAAGGAGTTTACTTTAATACATGAATCTACAAATAAGTAAGTATTCTTATAGTGCATTTTTTTTTAATTTTGGGTAAGTTAATTCTGACATTTAAAAAAACATATTATGAATTTTGTCTACTATCTCTAAACATTCCATTGAGAATATAGTACAACATTGTCTTTGCTCATCACACATAAAGTTCAAGTCCATCCTCCCTTTTGAAAGTTCTCACAGCGAGGACAGTTATTTCATCTTATCGTAGAGCCATATGTCAATACAGAATTGAAGTCCCACAGGGGTGGGAGGGAGTGACTGTATTTCTTCAACAGAGAAACACAAATTTCAAATGAATGCAGTCTCATATCAGCTTCAAAAAAAAAGAGTGTGGGAAGTAAAATGGGAAATAAAGATCAGCAACAAAATAAGAGCATTGAATCAGACATTTTACATCCTCTTGCTACATAAACTTCTACACAATAAATAGCCTTTTTGATCCCTGATATGGCAATTGGCCAAGTCAGAGGGCAAAAACTCTGTTCAAAGCTATTGTAACATCTTTTACATAATTTCTGAATTTCCCTAATGCACAGCTGTATATAACTCTACACAGCCATCTTGTGCTGTGTAGATCAATTTCATATTACTTAGATTAATAAGTGTAACAGATTAGCAATTCAAACTGCCAGCACGTTCTGCTTTTTTAAGGAAGTGAATTTCCATTTGAGTACAAACAAAATAATTGTATTTCTTACTTTTCCTCACAATCAGAAAGGCAGGGTGCAGTACATCTGCTAAAAAACTGATTATCTTCAACAGAGAGGCAACTTGATATATGCACAAAGAAAAAGGATTTTTTTTTCCTGAAAGTATACATCTTATCTTCATCTTGTATCTACAAGAACTACACTTGGTGGAGTTCTAATCCTATTCACAAATATTGTATTTTGAACCCTTAGGAAGACATACAGGAGAACAATTATTTAGTTTAAGGGGCAAATCAGGGATTAGTATAGTCTAGTCCTCAGGGAAAAAACGAGAAAAATTTTTTTATCCAAAATTTGTTATATCAAATCACTTTCTCCTTTCATACTAAGAAAGGAATTGGTTATTTTGAGCAAACGCCTTCTGTGGTTTTGCACATTTACGTTAATTTCCAATAAAACCAATGAACATTTTAATAAATTAATGAAGCATCTTTCTTTGCCAAGTTTTTATGGAGACAGAAAATTAAAATTGCACATCTCACATTAATGGAATTTCCTACATATCAAATGGAACTATTCAAATAGCAAAAAATTTGAGTATATATACATATATATATATATATCTATCTATATATATATAAAATGGCTTTTCAGATTGAAAATAAGGAACATTCTTTTAACTGTGTGAACAGTGAAACAACGGAATATGAAATCCAGGGAACTGTGGAATACATGCAAGCAAGAAATGATATCACAACTTTGGTCGTATACTGAGGTCCATCCTAACCTTAAATTCCTATGAACACTATGAGAAACAGGAAGAGAACTGACAATAAGTTTCCTCAGAGTCCAGAAAACTTGCATCAGAAACTGAAATATATTTATGTCAAGTCTGTTCTACTTTTCCCAAACTTCTCAGAGTATCCCACTAAGTCATACAATTTCATTACCCTAATTTATAGGAAACGAATTTAATTGATTTTACATCAGTGGAAACGGGATCAAAATAACCTTTTAAGATTTATTTTATTGCTACTCTACCTTGCAACAGCTTGAAAAGCCACTGCAGTAAGATTTACAACACTTTTAATTATTTATTACATAACTCTGTCAAGACCTGAGGCAATGTAAAAGGCTTTTTCTTAGCATTACAGACACAGCTGTAATCAAATCAAATGTAAATCAAATTTATTTATTACAGTTTCAACATCGAACTACTACAGAATACAACAATCAAACAGTCACTCAGTTTTCTGGTAGAAAGTCCCTACTATTTTATCTACCTTCAGATGACAGTAGCATACACAGATTTTCTGTTCAAGGACCATGATGAGTGGTATAGAGATGTCACTGGGAGCAAAAATGAGGTTTTGGCCTCCAGATTGCTGCTACAGCAGCATGATGGTCGGCTGGAGAAATACGAATTAAATTGCTTCTCTCTTCATGAGTGGCTTTATACAAATAGCATAGGTTGGGAGAAAAGGGAAGAAAAAACATACAGCTTAAGTTTTATTTGACTGCCTGCTCACATCCAGAACTCAACACCACACCTCAACTCAAAACCACAAAACCTCAACAAAACAACCAAATCACAACAACAAAAAACCAAACCAAACATGTTCCTTAAAATTTTTAAAAGGGTACATTCATATTGTACTGTAGTTGAATCTTTGGAGTATTGTTTGCTTATCATTCACATGAGATACAAATGAAAGGAACTGTTGCTAACATAAAATGTAG